AACCTTTCCCCTTTACAAATGACTGTTCGATGCATGCAAAGCAAAAACATATCCCCCAAATGTTATCTTGGAGGAAGTAATATGTCCCAGGTTTTGGATTTTTCTGGAAAGTCCGGGTGTGATACAGGGAACGTTTTCACCTGGGGATATGGACGGTTGCAACTCTGCCAAGAACACATATAGGTGCGCCCAAAGAGTATATTCCTGAAAGTCATATATAACACAAGGAAATACGAAAACAACTCGTTCTAAAAATAATCCATTCCAGAGGAGCCAAATTTGTCGCTAGAGTCGAGTACCCTGAAAGATAGCTCGTCGTCAACAGAATGAAAAGCAAGTCATTGAATCATGCAAAAAATCAAAGGGTGAAGCTTACGAATATTGTTTTGTCAATGTACCTTCCCCACCTTTCGATAAATCAACATTAAACACATAAAAATTACCATCACTCGTGACTACCATGACCTGCGGTGTGTTGCTGCTCATCGCAACTACGCTCCGGACAGGACCAGCAATCGATCCCGGACCACTATGCCCTGCAGTTTTCGGAAGCTTAATCCATGCAAAATCCCGTGCCGGTTCCCACATCTCAGCCACGCCCTTGGGCAAATAACCACCAACGGTAGCAGCGAAGGAATTTCCGACATTTTGCGATGTTCGGCGGATCATACCCATCAATGTGCCGTTATGCTTTCGCGGACTGATGTCGCCACTATCAGCCTCTGCATGTGAATCCTCTCCGCCTGAATAAGCGGAACTTTGGCTAAGCGCCCTTTCCCTGTTGAGGCTAGTGGAACTCCGGGGGCCGGATCCCGTTGGGGAAGTTGGATTATCTTCTGCAGAACCCAGGTGTCTCAGTTTGAAAATATGGATAGTTTCAGTTGCGGAAGAGACGCAAAGCAGTGTGGATGTTATATTGAATGACATGCTAAAAATTCGAGATGGCATGGACCCTCTTCGGAACTGATAGAGCTTCTGCCCTTCGGGGACAGAAAACACACGAATGATCGTTCCTTTGTCCGAAGCTGTAGCCAACAGAGTTCCTTCTGTATTAATCGCCAGGCAAGACAAAGGCGATTTATGGGCCTCAACAACGTTTATTGCTTCGAGTTTTAGCGTGTCAAAAATAAGCACCTCGCCGCTGGTGGGGGAGATGTGGGTATTACTAGGTGGCGCATGCGAAGGTGGTGTAAAAGATGAGGGAGGAGCCTTTTGCGGAAGAGGATAGGTGAGATAACAGTTTTCGGATGAAGGGGAGAGCGCGCAGATGGCTTAATGAAGTTAGTGATTGTTTTCTTTCTCTACCTGTTAGCAAGTTTTCAATTTCTCTCTACTCTTACATACCGTTTGGATTTGGTGAAGTCTCAATCGTGTACAGAAGCTTCATAGTTTGGATATCGTATAGGTAAATCTGGTCCTCTAGGACAATAACTAGGCGCTTGCGGTTCAGACGCACGGCAAGGACGGTAGTTGGAAAGGTTAATTCGCATATTGTGGATTGTCGCTGATGGAACCGTTAGTACTCGAATTTAACTGACTTGGTGCCGATAATTTTCGGAACTGGAGGAGCTGAAAATGAATCACGCACCTTTGTGTTTGTGATTTGTAGCCGCCGAGGAGAAAGGATCAGGGCAACAAGGGAGGTTGAAAAGAGCATTTCAAGAATAGCGATATTTCCTTCCTTTGTCTCATAGCTCTTCGCGAAGGGATCCGTGGTAAATATGCGGAAGCCTTTCGTGGTACCTGCATACATATGCAACAAGACGTCAGAGAGGGAGGCGGTGGTAGGGTGAAAGGACACCACGGTATTAGGAGGAGAACCCACCAACAGCTAAGTAGCTGTAGTCCTGGTTGAAGGTGACGAAATTCATTGCCATCTTGGAGAAGCAGATAGCGTTGCTATCGGTCTAGAGGATGTTTACACCGTATACCCTTGCCATTCAAAACGGGCACCGCACAAGTATCCTTCACTACCCGTAGTTGGCGACCAGTGTCATGGACCCTCCCTTGGCTGAAAGACCAGAATATTAGCACATTCGCATCCGCATGCCATAGGCAGGCATGCTCCGGTTAAAAAAAGAAAAGGCTTCAGATATCAAGAAAACTGAGTCCGCAGCAGGGGCAAAAACGCGGACAATAGACGAAGGATGCGTAGATGATATTAGGAAGAGGGAGGCGAGCGTCGGTTGGCCTCTGGATCGATATCACTGGGCAGTTGAAATTAGTAGATGGATATAGTTGAAGTCTCAGGCTGAAGAAGTGAGGTTACTCGAGCCAGGAGGACAAACGGTGCAAACACTGCGAAAGACAACTGATGGAAGGGGGTTAAACCAGCTAGTCTCAGCTGGGTCTAGTTCAACAAAGTTGGTGGGGTTAGCGCTCGGACCACAAATTATTTGACACACGTGACTGCGGAACCCTGGTTGACTTCATCGAAACATCAGAAGACTTTTAAGGCAAAAGGAACAACGGGGAAGAAGAACCCGGCAATTCGTATTCCCTCGAGGGTGAGCTTTTGGCAACATGGCGCCACGGGATACAAAGGCGAAAAGGGGGGCGACTCTTGTCATGGAGGTAGGTTGCTCTTTTACATAACTATTGCAAAAATAGAAGCCAATAATATAATATTAAAAATAAGTCTGACTGATATGTGACCTGATGCTTTAGACTAATAGTAGCAGTATAGTCTCAAAACGCAGCGTCGAGCGCCTTTACTACCCTGAGCCCCATTTTTTCCGTCATTTTGTGAAGAAACCTCAGAGACGATCTCCATTGATCAATCGAGGATACTGGCTGCGCATGCATGCCGTGGAAACTTCCGTGCGGAAGTTTCTCGAAGAGCCATCCGAACTCCTAAAGGTGGTCGTGAACTTAGGCTGTGGGTTGTGAGTAGTTGAAGGAGAATCTGATTCCTCTAGCGGGAACTTAGAGAATTTTTCACACATGTGCTGATTGATTTTTGAGTGTAGTGATCCATTGCCCTTTCAATTCCTTAGCCGGGACCGCACCTTATGCCAGAATGTGAAATTCATAGATGTTGACCACCATAAGCTGATGGTGAAGAAGCGGGATGTCATAAACCAATGCACTGCGTTAAGTGGCCTGCTTTCAGGTGCTCAATTGCTCCCTGAATCTGGCAGTGTTCTTCTGCGAAGCAAAGAATACGTTGCTGCGGGATGTGATCTAGGGGATCTAAACAAGCTCGACGTCGCACTGAAGAATGCGATAGGGTTAACTGAGGTTTCTATCCTCTTCATAGCAGAAGTTTCATTAACTTATATGGAAGTTAGCTTAGCGGATGCGCTTATTCAGTTCCTTCCGAAAATAAGCAATGGTGAGAATCCCTTCAGTTTCTAATAATCCAGAATGCCTACGACTGACAGCTAAAAGACGTAAATTTCTGTTTACTCGAGCAGTATTTCCCAGATGGACCAAGCCACCCATTTGCGGTTACAATGATGAAACATTTTCTAAAACTTCAAAGTCCATTACATTCAATCCACAAATACCCTTCCCTTGACCAGCAGGAAGTGCGTTTTCGCGAGTCTGGCTGGACAACCACAAAAGCAACGAATTTATGGGAGCTGTGGAGTGATCCAACATTTTTAACCGAAGAGCAACGATTGTCGCTCGATTCAGTTGAGGTATTTGATGAATGGGAAGAGTTCGCGCTCTTTGCGTCTCACTACTTCCTACTGTCTGCCTCCACTCGAAGCACGGCTACTGGATCAACACTGTTAAATGGAACTGAAGTACCTAATGTAGAGCCAATCCTTTTGATGCTGGCTCCGCTCTGCCCTCCAAAATTCTCCGGCCAACGGCGCTTTGGCGCAATAGTGCCTACAACCGCTAAATCATTTGGATTACACGGCGGCCTGGGCCCCCAGACTCGACTTTCCTCGACTGATGAATATACCTCATCTAGTACTGACACAGCGGCGACAGGAGAAATGCCACCGCTCAGCAGCATGGAGGCTCGAATGTGCCACACCATAACCCAATTCGATGGACATGATTGCTTGCTTGTAGGGGGCCGTGCTTCCCCACACGATGTCATGGCTGATTGTTGGATAAGATGGGCGGGGCAATGGCGCCGAACTGACAATTTGCCGACTCCTCGATACAGACACTGCGCAACCGCAGTGGATTTGGGAGAGGGGAATTCTCATGTTCTCATCTATGGTGGGAGAAGCACCTCTGGTGAGGTTTTGAATGATTTCCTTTTATGGAATGAGATGGAAGGTTGGCGGACAGTTAATGTAACCAATCAGTCTCTCCCTGCTAGATTTGGTGCATCAATTGCCAATATCGATAGACAGTCCGGAATCTTGTTGGGCGGAATGACACGGGATGGAGTCGTATTGAATGACTTCTGGATATGGAAACTCACCACATCTAGCAGTGGAAATATACGCCTCGAGCTAAATAATCTCACGGAAAACCTTCTGGCGGTCAACCCTTTACATAAATGGCTAGGACGCTTTGGAGCATCAGTAACAACAACGGAAAGGGGAACTTTTATTATTGGCGGGATAGCAAAACACAACTGCATCCCACAGGAATACGAAATAATGCTTCTGAATAATCATTCGCTGAAGGACATGACACTATCTCCCGATAGGTCACTTCTGACAGCAGTTGGACTCGGTTCCGAATTTAACCGACCCCGACCACTCCTGGTTGGTCACTCTTCCTGCGCAACTGGTGATGGTGACGTGCTTATCGTCGGCGGCGGCGCCGTCTGTTTCTCATTCGGAGTCCACTGGAATGAAGGCACTTGGCTATTGCAGAGTGCACGATCTGAGACTATGAACTCATGGACTCTCCATGAACAAGCGGCAAGTTCCGAAGCCAACCCGCCTGAAGGAGTATCTGAAACAGCAGACGTTCATACAGGCACTACTGAGATGCAAACGATCCCTCGAGTCATTATTTCGAGTGCAAGAGAGTTCCAAATAATCGTCGACAATGCGAAACCAGTTATTCTTAGTGACCTGAATATTGGGTCGTGTCGAACGGCTTGGACGAAGGAGTATCTTGAGAAAGCTATCGGGCGGGATCGCAAGGTAAATATCACAGCAACCTCCTCCAGCAAATAATCAACTACTACTAACCGATTAAACGAAATTGGCTAACAAGAGTTTTTCGTTAAGGTGGTCGTCCACGAATCAAAATCGTCAAACATGAACTTCCAAACCAAGAACTTCGCGTACGTCACCAAGGAGTTCGGAACCTTCCTCGATGAAATTTACAATAACGGGTCCAAGCAATACCTCCGCTCCATGTCTTCCACAAACCCTTCAGAACACCCAACAAACCTAGCACGCGATTTTCCTGGTCTTCAAAACGACTTCCACCTGCCCCCCGAGCTATCTCTAGTTTCAGAGAACGCGCACAGCTCTCCCCTTCGGATATCCGGTCCCGTTATCCTATGGCTGCACTATGACGTGAGTCCTTATATCCCACCACTACTAGCCCATTCGTTCCCGTAAAACTCACCCTAACATCAACGTGCAGGTCCTTGCGAACGTCCTCTGCCAAATCCAAGGCCACAAACGCCTAATCCTCTATCCACCCACCGACGTAACACACCTCTCCTTCCCCCCCGGCTCCTCAAACTCCTCCACAACCCTCTTCAAAAACATAACCGACACCACTCCGCTCTCCCCACCCAATACCCACCCCTTCTCAGCCCTTCTCAAACCCGGAGACGTCCTCTTCATTCCCCCGCTCTGGCTACATACGGCGAACCCAACGGATGGAGAAGTAAGCGTAGCCGTCAACGTATTCTTCCGTAACCTTGATAAGGGCTATGCGGCCGGTCGAGATGTGTATGGCAATCGAGATTTGCAAGCGTATGAGAGGGGGAGGGCTGAAGTGGAGAAAATTGCACGGGCATTTGATGGGGTTCCGCGCGATATGGCTAGGTTTTATCTTGAGCGCCTTGCTGATGAGCTTCGGGGGAAGGCAAGGGGGTGAAGCACCCACTTAACTATGCACTTGAGGCGTATATGTGTATATGTACATCTTGTAAAGAGCGACGAGGAGGTCATCTGCGAGGAGTAACAGTAGTCTAGCGATGACGAAGCATAGAGTATATGTGAGCTATTTGCAAAAACAAAAAAATAACAGCTACATCTCTAGTAGTTATCGCTTTTGGCAACGCAACGGTTGAGACACATGCTCATGAATCACTCTGCCATTGCCAAACAGCAGGCAACAATAACAGGCGAGGCTGAAGCTCCTCATCTGTCGCAGCCCGAATAAACGAACAGAAGTTTGTCAACCGTATGGATTTAGGACAATGTTAACCATAACGTCCCCCGTTTCTTCCTTTCCCTCTGTGTAAAATAAAAAATAAAAAATAAATAAATAAATAAATAAATAAATAAAAAAAAAAAAAAAAAAAAACCCCTGGAAAGGTACAGTGTACAATTTGTACATACCTAACCAACCGTATTGTGCCAATCCCATCCTTTCATTGAATCCCGATCGACCATGGATGTTTCTCCCTGTTAGCCCTTTTGTCCGGGATCAACAGTTAAACTACATGGAGCATGCCTGTCCATCTAGCAGACGTTACCATAGTTGGGGATGAAGTTGTTCTCCAATGCAATCAATCTCATGCACTTTAAAGCGCACTCTTCAATATTATCCATGTTGCTAACAACCTACCTAGATAGATAGTTACATATGCATCATCAATTCCTCATAGCAACCCCAGCCCATATATCGGCCTCAAGCACCATCAAACTATATTCATATGAAAAGAGAAATAAACATTTCCCCGGGTAGCTCGTACATCCAGCCAATAGCAGTCCCCGGCGGCAGGGGAGGTGGCAGAAGAGCCCAAGAGAAGGTGAGGGGGG